GACCATGTTGAAAATAACTGGGATTATCCTTTAAGTTTGGTGACTACGCCCTCCATGCTCTAGTTTTGCTGAAAGACTTGAAAACAGTCACAGGAAGGAGTATATCAAGATGGAGTTCCTTTTTTAAGCCCCAGTCTTATTGTTTCACCTCAGAGCAGGAGAGAGGAGGAGACGCACTCTTTCCTCGCCTGACGCAAAAAGGAGACACACAGACAGAGATGGACCTCAGGGTTCAGACTGCACATGGTGCGATTTGTTTTTCTAAGATGTTACCGAAAACATGCCGACATTCTTCAGTACTGTTACTGTACGCAGCCCATATATCATGACTGTATGTTTATCTGACCTGGATCTCGTACATCCCAAACCATGGGAGAGCTCCACATGAGTAAAGGACAGTCCATCGATTAGGTGTTGAACTCCGACACATAGACACATTCATTTTGATTTGAAGGGGGACACAATCCCTCGCATTGTAGTGCAAGAATCAGCACACGCTTATTGTCAACGGATCCCTTTCGACCAAAACCGAGTACTAACAAGTGTCCACAGCCAGATGTAGCTCATTCCTCTGTGCCATAGAGCTCCATTGTTGTCCTAAAGCTATTAAAAACACTTCAGTTAACCACACTGTTGCACTGGGTGCCATGTTTCTTCATTACAATAAATATTGGCACTTTTATTTATTATTTCTATTTTATTATAAATCAATGCTGTAAATACTCATTGAACAAATTGTGTATTAATCCACCTCTGAAAATAGTCTCCAAAACATGAAGTATTTACTCCTGTTGAATAATGTTTGATGCATACAGTGGCCAGGCTGTTTTAGGAAGTGAGCCAAGTGAGTCAAGTAAAAACAAAAAAAAAAACTCAAGTAGAAGTAAAAGCGCAGCAGTCAACAAAATGATTATTCAAGTAAGCGTCCTAAAGTATCTAATGAAAAGAAACTACTTGAGAGAAGTGAGTAACTTGATTAGTGTGAATAAATAAAAATGATTAAGAATCAAACATACATATTTATCTGTCACCAATTAGTGATGAAAATTCACATTGTAATCCGTATACCACGACAAAAATCCCATTAAACAACATCACGATCATCTAATGCTTAAATGTAGCGTGACGAGTTTATGCTAATGTAAAGTTGTAAAAATGCTGGTTTTTATCCCAAAATGTAGTCGAGTACGAGTGAAAAGTTTGCTGCATTAAAACTGCTTCAACACGTGCAAGTAAGAGAACATATGTATCCACCTCTGCTTTTTTTCAAAATAAAAGAAAGACTCTGTAACCTGTTTTTAAAGTTTAACCTCTTCAGTCAGAATGAATGGTCTACAGTAGTGCTACAGGCAATCACCGGTTGTAAAGTAATAGTCAACTAAAAACATATCGCCAGCCCCTTCATCCCAAAACACGTTTTCATATCGGCCATGTTTGTCAGAGGATCTGTCATTATTCCCTCATGCTGCAGACCACAGAGCCCACCGTCCTCCGTTTTATTGACTCAATATGAAAACTCACATAATGTTTTTCAATGAACCAAACACTCTGTTAGTGACAACACTGTTTATAGGCTCATAAACACATTTGTGGTTTCTAATATTCAGTAAGTGACTGTTTCAACTCAATAGTTAGAATTGTGTTTTTTTTAAAGTGTTGTCCAGGTTTTGTGTTGGGCTGTGTTGAACCATTTATTAAAGCTGTAAAGTATCAGGAAGACCATCACAGACAAATGCCATGTGGCTATGGACTAATGTGTCTAAGATTTTGTCATGTAGCTGTGGATTGATTTTTGACCTTAAAGTGTGATGCACAAGAATACAAAAGAGGAAACTGCTCATCAAAGACTCAGTACGCTTCAGTGTGCCGTTTGGCCTGGATCAGCCTCTCTAACAACAGTATGTAATGTACTGTAACACGAGGATTACATCTCATCGCATGCATGTTTTATGGTCCGAAAATGGAAATTTTTTAGGTATGAGGTCAGTCCATACACAAATACAGATGGCACCAAATAGAAAATAGATTCATGTGTTGCTATGTGTTGGGTGTGGTGTCAAAACAGCCGGCACTTGACTCCCATTTCTTTCTTCTCACTGCCTCCACAGAGCCACTCCCCATCTTTATGCTACTGTGTGTTGCTGTGATACACAGCACAGATATCTTTTTAGTGTAATAAATCTTCACCAGCTGACCACGGTTCAAGAGTTTAAAAAAAGCTCCCCTTACTTCACCGCCAGTGAGTCACCGTTAATTCACCGACAGGGTTAAATGTGAGCATGATGTCCATAAACTGCTAAGGATGTGAAGTTGGGCTGTGCAGGAAACAGGGAGAGCAGTTTCCTGTTATGTAGAAAAGAGCTTGTTCTACACCAATCAAACAGTCAGACGGGTGTGAAGGCAAACGAGGCTGGTTTATCAATGCAGGAGAGTTTATTTAAGATGCAGATACAGTGTGATTTTTAATTGGACATAAATGGTAATGCTGAGAAATGTGGCTTAAAGGTAGTATCATCCAGAAACAACTAGGATCTAAGGATGTATTGTTTTCACCTAATCATAACTTCATCTAAACTGATGTAATTACAGGCTCTAACACTGTAGAGAAGGAATAAAGGGAATTTTTTATTTAGTAGAAGTAATAGTATGTAGTTTTTTTTAGGTGAATCAGTATATATTATTTTGGTACCACTTTGTGATAAGGCACCACATTTTTAAGGGCTTATAGGCTGTACCTAATGGCTTCATTAGTGGTTAAAAATCATTTACTAATACTTTATAGAGTGGATGTCAACCATTAATAAGAACTTTTGGGTTGCCAGGTTGTGAAGATCCATTTGTCTGGTGTTTATTTTGTCTGTTTGCTAGAAATGTATTAATAACTGTTTGATCATCCATGTGGATTTTTAATATATCTAAGTGCACCTATAAATGTTGGTAGCCAAACTCTCTTCAAAACACTTCACAACCTGGCAACCAAAAAAGTCATCTATTGGCTTACCTATAAAGAATTAGGTAATTGCTGGTGATCAATTAAGACTTTGGCTAGAACCTACAGACCCTTTATAAAGAGTGCCATTTTATAAAGTGGTACTTATTTATATTATTTTCTATTTCCAAAAGTTGTTTTAATGTGTAGTGAGCAAGAAAAGGTTTTATTTAGAAGTCTGCGGTTGTGTTAGTAATATGTAAATCTACATGACGGAGCCTTAACTCGCTTCATCATATGACACCCTTTGCAGCTTTAGCATTCACCTTGTTGCTGCAAAGTATATTCAATTCACTTGCACAGGCTTATGTTAACATCTCCAACACTGGGCTGGAACTGCTGTTGCTGCAGCTGCTGCTGTCACAGGGATCCTGTGGTGTGGTGTAATGTGTAATGTGTGTAACGGGGAGCGGGTCGAGCTTCTTTCCATTTGGTTTCCAGTCGCGTCCTGCCCGCTGTAGGACGCACAAACGATCAGCTGAGCAGCGCCTCGCTCTCAGAGGAAGATAGACCGAGCTGTGTTCAGTCAGTCTCTCTCAGTGTGTGTATGTGCGCGCGCGCGTGTGTGTGTATGTATGTGTGTGTTTGGACAGTTCAACAGAGTTTGGTGCGGGCTCCGTTTTTAAATTGAAAAAAAAAAAAAAAAAAGATCCTGTGTATCGCAACTGCTTTTGTGAACGAGATGCTGGAGATGGTCGCTTCGCCAAAATGAACATAGGTGAGATGACTATTTTGAAATTGAATATTTGGTTTTAAAAGCCAGTTTTTTTTCACCGCGTATGTGATATTTGGGCTAATTTAAAACATTTTGGAGCAAGTGCATCGGGCTGGCCTGGGAGAGAAAAGAGAGTTGTAGTTTACATGTTATAATTTACTTTTTTTTTGTCTCGGACGCTACGTTTCTGTGAATATAGTGTAAATCCAGCGGTAGCCACAGGATGTGAAGCAAACCAAAGTGTCCTTAACACAGTGTTTGCTGATGTCAGGGGGCAGTGTAGTGATGGTTGGCTTCATACTGATGGAGTCAAGAGGTTTCAGTGTGATTTAGCACAAACTGAGCTCATGTTGAGTTTTAAAACTCAAGCAAACAGTTTGACTCCGCAGTCATGCAGTATGTGGAATATCTTTTTTAGTTTTGCTGGGTGAGAGTTTATTAAATACACTTTACATACATATGTTGTTTTCATCATTATCCTTTACCGCATTTACAGTATTATACCACAAGCAGTAGCTAAAGGCAGCCTGAGAGGGGGTTCTCTCACTTGAATCACAGGAAGTGAGTCAGGGAAATCCCTTAGATTTTTTTTGTATTCTCTCTCAAAGGGTGTAAAAGCTTACATTACACATTTAAGTCCCTTATTCTGCCCATTAAGGAGCATATTTTAAAATTTTGAGCAGATTTTAAATGTAAACTATAAATGAAAGGTCCCAGGAACCTTGCATGATCTTTATAGCAGGTTGTCTATTAGTTCTTGTGAACGAAATGATCAGCTGGAAATATTTAAATGTGGCACTTGATAATACAATTACAATTTTATTACATCTGAAGATAGAATCTTTGAGCAGTTTTAGGTCACAGTGACACAATACAAATGACCTGTAAGCTATTTTAAAGCACATAATCTTACAGTTTCCTTTTCCTGTTGTTCTTTCAGACAGCACCAAGCCTTCTGTTGCTCCAAAGCCAAGGTTTGTTTGTCACGGCAGCCTGAAGCTGCCCTCCCCTCTCATGTCTGCAGCCAGGGGTCCCAAACCTTCTATTGCCCCGAAACCTAAAGTCGCACCGGAGCTAAATGGCAACCAGGGAGGATGCGGTAATGGTGGCTTACTAATTTCAGACGGCGAGGTTGATGATGAGCACGAGACTAAGAATGGTCCTAACAATGTGATTAAGGCAGAGGAACAATTTAACGCATACGTCATAAAATCACCACGAAAAGATCTACAGAATGTGTCACAGGGGCCGGAGGACGGTGAGGTGACCGAAGAGGAAAAGGAAGAGGAAGAAGACATGATTCAGAAGATGGATGAGGACTGGAGATTAACTGACAGTGCTCTAACAGAGGAGGTGGACTCCCTGGAGACACTGTGGGTCAGTGATGCTGGACTCACAGCTTACTCCGAGGAGGTGGTGGAGATGATTGACACAGACATGACAGAGGACATGGACGCTGAAGGGTGTGACGCAGGCGAGGCGCTGGCTGACACAGATGGCCTCTCAGTGGGAGACATTTTTGTTAATAGCATCGATGAGGAGGCAGGCTGCTCCTCTGCTGAAAATCAAGACATGAAGAAGAGGCAGGAAAAGCTCAGCATCAAGGAGGACGAAACAGGCGACTGTACAGCAGATGATTTAACTGAGTCTTTCACAGATGAACCTGGTATTCCCATCAGTGAAAACACCAAGGACACCGATACACAGCAAGTTTTTCTATCGGATGGAGAGGAGAAAGAGGAGGAGTCTGTTTCTGATTGTGGCATCACTTGCAATATCCTGAAGTTGAGGTGTGGCCATAAAATGAAGGAAAAGGGCGAAAACATACAGAACATTAGTTTTTATGACTTTATCCCTGAAGAGCAGAAACAGCGACATGTCGCCTTAGAGGACGATCCAATCCACGAGCCTTATTATGTCTCTTCAGAGGACATTATTAACAGAGAGATGATGCCAAGGAATAACAAAGCTCAGGGACTTCCAAATAGTCCACGAACACCACAGAAGCTTTTTTCTCTAAACAGCAGTGGAGTATCAGCTGGGAACTATGAGGAAACAGGAAAAAATGGACAAATAGTGTGTGTGTCCTCTGAGGATTACGTGGAGATTGGTCACAACAATGAATACAGCTGCAACGGTGGTGATGAGAAGAAGGTAGGAACGTGTCAGAAAAGGACTTCTTTCAGAACGGAAGAGCACAAAGCTCGTACAGCAGAGGCCTTGTTGAATCATTTTGACTACCAGCCGCGGTTCAGGCTGGTATCAATCTCGGTGCCAACGGACACTGACACCTCGCTGACCTCTTCCCTCTCAGAAAGCCAGCTGCTTTCCCCAAACGACTCAGACGTGTTTAGAGACGAGGACGACCTGGAGGGTCACATCGTGCCGTTTCTGGACGACACCACTGATACGGAGCAGGACATCAGTGATGAGCATGTTTATGAGGAGCCGGGGCACAGTTCGGAGGGTGAAAATGTTTTTCCATTTGACAGGAAGGCCACGGGGATGCAATCCCGGTCACTGTCACACCGCATTAATAACAATGTGGCTGAGATGGGAGTGCAGTTTGTTCAAAGGCCCTACATGAGTGGATTTGGACAACCTGCACTGAGCAGCAGCCCCATGTTAAACTCAGTGCGGCACAAGAGCTACTCCAAACCCCACTATTTGTCCTTGTACCCCCGCTCCCTCTCCATGGAGGGACAGGACATGCCTCAGAGACAGAGAGAAGCCATTTGTTCATCTGGAAGCTTCTCCAGGTGCTCACCTTTGCCATCCAGCGGCCTGTCCACTCCAACATCTGTGGTAGATATCCCTCCTCCATTTGAGCTGGCCTACATCACCAAGAGGCCCATCACAAAGAGTTCCCCCTCACTTCTCATCGAGGGAGACTCATCAGAGAAAAACAGGAAAAAGAAATCCTCCCTTAAGCGCTTCCTGATGCTTAAGTTTAGGCGGAAAACAGAGAGCAAGTCTGTGGTGGATGTCAACCCGTCCTCCTTTAAGTCCTCAGCAGACTCCAGCCATCACACACCCAGCAGACTGCTGGATTTAGATACACACAGTTTAAATAACTCTCCACAGCTCAACTCACGCTCTGCTGGTAAACCTCAAGTTTCATCTGAGCCAGCCTCAGCCTTGCTCTTCTACAATGAAAGCAAAAGAAAAGGGAACTCTGTAGCCTTCCTCAATCGCAGCGTCGTCCGAGTGGAGTCATTTGAGGACCGCTCTCGTGTGCCTTTCATACCTCTTCCCCTGACCAAGCCTCGCTCCATCTCCTTCCCCAACACAGATACCTCCGACTATGAGAATGTTCCTCCCATCAGCTCGGACTACGAGAACCTTCAGGTCCCACAGCGGAGGCCTGTTCGCCAGGGACCCTTCGCGGACTTCTTTGACCGTCCCAGCCGAGTGCTGTCGTCTGCCAATGACACGGACGGTTATGTGGACATGAGCAGCCTGCCTGGGTTCAGGAGTAAAGCTCAGTCACCTGAAGAGGAAACAGAAAGGTATGTAAACAAGACTAAGAATCTACAACCATGATCTGTGCGGCTGTACCTTAGGAACAGGGGTGCTTTGAGTTAAATGCTAGTATCACCATGTAAATAATCTCTCAGTAACCATGCTCACATGCTGTGTAGCAGGAATAATGTTTACCATAGCCACCATGTTAGTTTAGCATGTTAGCATGCTAATATTTGTGTGCAGCTGTGGTATCTGATCACAAACCTGCTGCACAAATCAAACTTCCTCACCTGATGATCGTGTTAGGAAAAAAAATATTGATCCTCTGGGGACCGTTAATGTCTGTACACAATGACATGTCAATCCACACAGTAGTTGTTGAGATATTTTACTCTGGAACAAAGTGGTGGACAGACAAACCGACAGAAAGCCCATCCATAGAGCCTTTGTCTGTGTCCAAGCGTGTGTTGACGCTGCTGGACATAATGTTAGTGATTCTTACCACCTTTTACAGCGAGCTCTGGTCTTTTTTATTACTGCTCGGCCTCTGTGCGGGTTTAACAATGGCCCTGGGGAGGAAGATTTATAACTATTTATTATGTTGAATCCCCTGATGCTGGAATCACAGCCGACATATGGAAGTGGTGATCAGTGGCAGAGAGGAAAGTGGAGTACAGTAGCTTCCGTTTTTCATTGCAGTGAAATGTACAAAACCCCAGCTGTGATGTGCCGGTGTGTTGTTGGGGCATGTTGGTGGTAGAGGAGGAAACACTGGCTGTGGTGGTGGTCTCTTCAGATCTAAATTAACACAAGGCTGGTTTCATTCATAAATCATCTGTTTAGGTGTAGAAACAGCCTCCTGTGTTGATGTTGTAGGGAGAGTTTCTCGTCTCCCTGCTGTGGTGTTACTTGTTGGTATGATCAGCCATGCTGTGCTGACATTAACCCATCCCCCCCTGCATTCCTGTTGGCTGTGCCCATATCATACAGGCCGCTCAGGATGATTAATAGTCAGAGCATTTTGGAGTCATTGCTCTTCTCTAGCCAGTCAGGCACAACAGGCTGAGATACAATCTCACTATGTTCTGCAGTCAGCAGTTGTTCACTGTAGAGCTTCTCTCATCGTGCTCACCATTTTGGTGTGTGGGCAAGTAAAACTGTACAATAAAGGCTCCACGAGGGATATTAAAAATCTACACAGCCCTGCTAAAATGACAGGTTTTTGTGATGTAAAAAAATTAAACCAAGGTAAATAATTTCAGAACTTTTTCCACCTTTTAATGTGAACTATAACCTACAAGATTCCAGTGAAAAACAAATTGAAACCGTTTAGGAAAAATATAACTTACAATTACCTGACAAATAGGTGTGCACTCTCTTATAATTGGGGATGTGACTGTGTTCAGAATCAATCAGTCAAAATCAAACCCATGTTAAATAGTAGTTAGCATACACCTGCCATCAATTAAAGTGATTGATTAACCCTCAATAAAGTCTTCCTGCTGGATCTTCCTGACATCTTCCTCCTGCAAAAGCCGTGGTGCACAAAACGCTTCATTGTTGAAAGGAATCAATCAGGAGAGGGGAACAAAAGGATTTCTGAGGCATTAGAAATATCATGGAACACAGTGGAGACAATCATCAACAAGTGGAGAAAATATGGCACAACAGTGACATTACCAAGAACAGGACGTTGCTCCAAAATTGATCAAAAGACAAGGAGAAAACTGGTCAGGCAGGCTGCCAAGAAGCCTACGGCAACATTAAAGGAGCTGCAGAAATTTCTGGCAAGTACTGGTAGCTCCCTACACGTGACAACAATCTCCCCTATTCTTCATATGTCTGGGCTCTGGGGCAGGGTAGCAACACAGAAGCCTTTTGTCATGGAAAAAAAGATCAAGATCCAAGCCTGGATGAATTTTGTAAAAAAGAAAAAAAATATATCCAGTCTCCCAAAACATCGTGGAAAAACGTGTTATGGTCTGATGAGACCAAGGTTGGACCTTTTGGTCATAATTTCAAAAGGTCTGTTTTGCACAAGAACAACACAGCACATCACCCAAAAGAACATCATACCCGTAGTGAAGCAGCGTGAAAACCTTCAGGCATCTGCCACAAAGCTGAAGACAAAGACGAATTTTACCTTTGAGCATGACAGCGACCCAAAGCATGCATCCGAATATGCAAAGGAATGGCTTTCTAATGGCTGAGCCAGAGCCCAGGCCTGACTCCAAATGAAAGTCTGTGGGGTGACCTGAGGAGGGCCGTGCACAGGAGATCCCCTAACAGTTTGACAAATCTGAAAGTTTTTTTTTTTTTTTTTTTTTTTTTGCAAAGAAGAGTGGGCAAATATTAACAGGTCAAGATGTGTCAAGCTGATCGACTCCTACTCAAATATGAAATATATGAAATCAAAAGGTGCTTCAACTAGTATTAGTTTAATTTGTGTCACACTTATACATCCGGTTTATTGTAAATGGCTAAAACAGCTTCAGTTTGTGTTTTACTTGAGTTTTATAGGTTATACGTCACATTTAAGGTGGAAAAAGTTCTGAAATTATTTATCTCAGTTTCTTTTTTTTTACATCACAAAAACTTGCTAATTTAACAGGCATGTGTAGACTTTTTAATATCCACTTTCAGATACTAATTTTGTTGAGATGGATAATAAAATGTTTGAAACAAAACATTTGTCAAAGCGCTAACATAGACATAGAGCACATTAACAGATACAAGTAAGTACACAATCTTCATTCTATCGTCTAATCCACTGTGCTGGTGCCTCCATCCTGCGGGTTCAGTCATAACAGCGTGATGACTAAGTTCCCTTTTATCTATCTTGTATCACAAGTGAGTGAGTTTTAACATGTTTTTTGCTTTTTGTTTTGGACACATCAATTCAATTCTCATGCCGTTTCATTCAGTGAAGCTGGAAAAGATTGTGATTTTCTCATTTAGCTTATAAAGTATAAAGTGATAATTCAGTGATATTATCACACAGTGTGATACGTGTCTGCTTGTGTAGACTTACTGTCTTCACAATGAGCATAACTCTGCTGGTAGTATTAACATGAAGTTTTGACATTTGTGGTTTTTATGAGGTGTAATCGTTGGTGTACTTTCAGTGCGTTATGTTAGGAGTGTGTGTCAGCAAAGAGTTCAGGTATATTCCATATTTACATTAGTGTGTATGGACTGTGAGTTCACTGCCTCTTGCTGCCCATGATGAATTATTACTTCCCCCTAAAAATTAGTTTTATTGAGCTAAAAGTTACATGCAAATTAGGTTCCTTCTTGAAGAATGTTTATGTTGCTTTCTATTGGATGCCATTATTTTATCATTATTGTATTTTGTTGGGACTTCAGACCATGGTCTTAAGTCAGTAAAATCTGAATGTGAATCTTTAAAAGATCTCCCCTCTCTCTTCTTTTAATGCAATTTTGGGTCGACTAAGAGTTTTTGTAATTTTTATGTCATTGCTTTTCTATCACAAAATACACAGTTGCAAAGGTTAAATGCCTATGTGTGAGAGCCCAAGCTTTCTACGATAATACCAGTGAAAAAGGTGGAGCGATTATGATTGTCTGCTCCCGGTGAATACAGTGACTGTAACCACAGCAGAGCAATATCCGCATGGACAGTAGTGCGGATGGTTGAGGATTTTAGTTTTGCAATAGCCCGAAGGGGTAATATTAGCAGCTAGTTTGGAGATCGTTGGCATCTTGGCCCCATCACTGCCACCACTGGAACAAATAGGCTCACCAAGGAACCTGAGGCAAAAAGAAAATGAATTTTTTTTTATTTCCTTCTGTAATTTATCTCCACAGATTTTGCCGTGAGCGCTCATACAACATGGCAGGACTGTGAGATGTGACAGAGATGGTTTCTAAGTGATATAAAAGCCTAATATAGAAACTGTGCATGTAGTTTGTGGTTCAAGCACCCTCTGGTATCTCATCCAAAGTTTGATCCTGTGAGCAGTAATGAGCCATGCAGCTTTAATGTGTGCGATGCAGAGATCTGAACTGCTCACATATGTTGTTCATATGTAGTTAATTTGCATCTCAGTGGGGTTAAATCCGTTGGTGCTGGGAGTGAAACATGGCAGGAACATTGGCAAGACAATTGGTCACATAGCGCACTACTGCATCACTACTGTAACTTAAAGACCTGTTTTTATTTGCATAGCTTACACCCCCCACTGAGCTGCAGCCATTAGCATATTCATTTGGCCTCCCTGCAGAAGAGAATCTCGTAGCATAAAATACCGACATGCGTCCCTGGTTGGGTACAGTTGTCACCGCAGGCCCTTCAGGATCAGTTTATTGGTTTCTGTAGACCTACAATGTTTTATCTATTCACACTTGCTTCTAACACTGAATACAGTATGTTTATTATAGTGATATTTCAATGTAGAGGACCATAATGGACCATAAAGATGGCCTGAGTGGTTAAATGAATTTCATCTGATTTATTTTCACATGAATGAAGGCCGTTCACATTATAGAATAAGTGAGTCAAACTTGTGTTAAAAATTGAAATGCTACAACATGGAGTTCAAGACCCCCCCCAAGTGGTCCCAAGATATACCTGAGGGGTCACAAGATAAAAAAGGTTGAGAACCACTGGACCGGACCGTATTGTATCGCAGGTATTTGAAGTTTTTAGGTTTTCTCTGGAAAACTGTGTTAAATTTTTCCGAAAGATAAATTACTCTTCCACATAACCAATTTTTTCTGAAATAATAGCCACTCAGGCAGCTTATGAACCGTGTTTGTCGCTTGACCTTCAGCAATTATAATTATTGATTTTTACTTACTGTATTCTGGCTGAAAAGTGTGAATATATACGAGCTGTCACGGTGCAATATCATTTATATTTGGGTGTCTACATTTGTACTGTTTGTACCCTATTTTTTACTGATCTGATCCACCCTTCTCCCTCCCCTCAGTGCCTACACAGAAGCCTACAATGTGTGCTCGGTGGCTGTCGGTCCACAGACTGGTTCAGTGGGTGATGTCAGGGGACAAACAGCGAGTGAGGAAGACCAGGGGCGCACGTCTGAAGAGGAAGATGGCGGTGCAGACAGCAATTATGACAGACAGGTTAGTTAAAATTGTACAATTTAAATATATAATTTTATCATTACCTTTATCACTGAGTAATTAAGTAATTAAAAATGTCTTAGCCTTTGTCCATATTTTCTACTGTTTTCATGTTACCCACTATTCTGTAAAATGTTTTGTACAATTATTATGAAAGCGAAGGTATCACTCTTTCCGAATGCTAGATAGAAAATGAAGACATATTTGAAGAACAGAACACAACAACATGTTTTTCACCTTGGGCAACCGCTAAAATTGCCCTCACAAGCCAGGATTTTAATGTGGGTTAATGGAGGTTAATGGGCTACTACAAGGCTGTCTTCATTATTTAGAATTTGATTGCCGCTTAGAGACGATGTGGAGAGGAGAGCCAGCGATATTTGTTGAACCAGTGCCAAAATGCTTTAGCATTTCCTAACCCTGGGCTTATTACAAATAAATAATATGATTGTTTACAGCCTGACGGACGATCCAGAGCCTTTTACATCGCAAAAGAACTGGTGGATACAGAGAGATTGTAAGTAACATGTAAACTAATTTCTCTTATCCCACATCTCTATCTATCAAAACTAATCAGGTCCTTATTAAATTGAGTTTATATTTCTCTGTCCACAGGCATGTGAAAGCTCTCAAGCTTCTTCAGGAAGTGAGTGTGGTCTTATTAAATTTACTAATGCAATGTATGTGTTCAGATATTCTCTATGGGAAGGAATTAGTATCTACTTTAAACCACGGCAGGCTGTCCGAACTCTGCAGAACTGGAGTTGCAGAGTAACGTTTGAAAGAAAGGCAGTTCATGTTTCTCTGCTCAGGTTTACATTTTATATCTCTTGAATTCATCTTTCTGCTTCCTGTTTTTAGCAGACGCATACTATATTTACTTTTACTTCCAATCCTTAATTCTATGAACTAGCTTTTATTAAATGCTGTTTATGTTGCGTGTCAGTGAGCATGACTGCGCATGTTCACAGTCACGTCTAAAAGCTGCAAAGTACAAACACAATCTGTTGGCCTCTGAGCAGTTAGGGCTTTTGTGCCTTGCTCAAGGGCACCTTGCCATTGGCCATAAGGGAGGAACAAGTGCTGCTCCTTCACTTCCCTATTTAGAGTTACTCCTCTGTGAACTAGACCTCTGCAGCTCCAGTCAGCTCGAAGAGATGATTAGATTCCTTGATGTAATAGCTCATGTACTCCCTGCTGTCAGATATTATCTAGTTGTACTGCTGCAGAGGGAGGGAAGAAAATGCAGACTTTTGTGAAATTGTAAGTTTAGTCAGATTTTAAATATAAACAATAAAAAAGAATAACCTTTCCGCCACGTGTGCCAGGACTTTCGGGAAGCGGTGGGGGCAGCCGTCGGAGACGAGGGGGAACCTGTGTTGGAAGAAGAGAGGCTTCGAGAGATTCTCAACGAGCTGCCTGACGTTTACACTCTGCACCGCAGAGTCCTCACTGAGCTGGAGAATCGAATCCGCCACTGGTGAGACGCTTACACAATTGTTGAGTAAGGAATACTGGCACACACCCATTCACACATATGCTATAACTGAAAGGAGCTCTTCCCCACTCATCCTTGTTCTTCCATGGCTCCACAGAGTGCACACAGTAATGCAGCTGAGAAAGCTTTAAATATAAGCTGACGACCGGTGCATGCCACTTCTTCTTCATCCTCTCACGTCTGTTTCTTCACTCAGGGAGGAGAGCCAGAGGATTGCAGACATCTTCCTGTCCAGAAAAGCAGAGTTCTTGGTTTTTACCACGTACATTGGCCACTATGACCGGAGTATGAGCCTGCTGGAGGACAGCTGCCGGACCTCACCTGCCTTTGCAGCAATTGTTCACCAGTTTGAGGTCAGGCCTACGGCGCTTCTCTTACTGCAGTCCATGAAAATCAACATTTAACAATACACCTTCTGTATACTACAATATGAACCGACCTTTACGAGAATGAAATGTCCTCAGATGTGACATAAAACAAAACACAGTTTGGTACATGAAGTGTTTTCTCCACATCACATGTGAAGTCAGCCCCTGTATGCTGTTCATCTTCCTCCTCCTCTTCCTCTCTCTGCAGCGTTGTAGTTTATAATTTGTAGTTTATAAGAAAATTCTATTTGGAATCAAAGCCTGCATGAAAAGAAGAAAACACTTCTTGCACATTGCATTTATTTGGGTTTTGGTCATGAAATATATACAAACAAATGAAAAATAAAAACATGAATACTGGGATTGTTTGAATAATTAAAACATTTTTTAAATAGAAAACTAGTTGAGGTGATGAAAAAACTGCTGGGTTTTCGATTAGAAATAACAGGGAAACTTTGGTGGCAACCCTCTATATTTGTTTATTATCTTTGTCAAGAGTCTTTCTTATCTCTGCACATTATCTATTATCTGCAGAGTTCAGTGTGTGTACATTACGTGCATGTTTTGCAGTAGCAGAGATGGTGATGGCAACATGTGCGATACTGTGAGTGTGTGTGTGAGTGGTGGTGGTGGTGGTGGGTGGGTTAATTAATTTAAAATAAAGTAATTGGATCATTAGAATTTAAAATAGGTTCATTTTTCAAAAGGTTACAGGTAACGAGTGGAGTTTTTGACCTTACCGTGGAGCAGTTTATTTAGGCGC